GGTCTTGTATTTTAAATTATAAACAATTTATTGAAAGTCTCAACCAAAAAGATATTGAAAATATACATTGTGTATGCAAAATTAATAATTTTCATAAGCATATTATTACTGATGATCTTATTATGATCAAAGATATAGATTTTATAAATACCCTAAAAAAAAGGAACTAAACTTAGAATGTCAAATAAGATAAAAAGAATGAAATATTACAAAATTAGTAAAATATATTGATGAATGTATTATCAAAATTAGTAAAAAATATTTCTGTCCCATACAATTCTTCCTTGAATGAAAAACGTTTGTTATAAATAAGAAAGAAGTTTGATTACTTAAACTTATGTAGTTATACTATATCTATACTCTTTTTTTTCATTTCTAAAACAAAAATTAAAGAAATTCAAACACAATTTGTTATTACTCCAATTGATAAAGCTAACAACAACTTTGGATTTATATGCAAGAAATTTCACACACAGATTATAATAAATCCAATTATTAATAAAAAAACCTTTTACTAAATTTACATCTGAAGAAAATACAGTCATGAACAACTTATTGAAAGCTATTAAAAAAGGAATACACCTGTTGATTATAAATATTTAAATTTACCTTTCTTGTACACAATTCCTAAATTACATAAGACTCCAGTTATGTTCAGATTCATTACTAATTCATTAAATGCTACTACCAAATCTGTGACTATCATATTAAATGAAATATTAGATGTTCTATTATTTAAAATAAAGTAAAAACCTTTTAAAATTTCAAAACAAGTATTTTGGATGAAAAACAGTATACAAGTATTGTAATGTTTAGACAGACTTTAATTTTTTTTAATTCAGTCTTCACTACTTTATATACCAAATTGAATTTAAAAGATATATAATAAAATACTTCTATGGTTTAATAGACGAACTTATAGCCAAAAACATACTTATTTCTAAATATAAATTTTCAAATATTACTAGATAACATTTATTGACAAAATATTTAAACAGGTAATCAGCATTCATTTGTAGGCTAATTAATTTATCATCAAATATGACTAACTTGTATTTTTATTTTCATGAAAATGTATTTATGAACAAAGTAACAAATCCTGAAAAGTATGTGTTTAACTTCCACTATATTGATGACCTAATATCAAATAATAATCCAGAATCTAACCCTTCTGAAATTTATCCTGAACTTCAATTAGAATGTAGTAGCAATTTAATGTACTAAGCACACTTTTTAGGTTTAGATGTTGATTTTTTAGAAAATAAAGAGCAGTTGAACATATTTAATAAAAGAAGAAAACTTAAATTTCCCTATTTCGGGACTGTCTTCCTCAAATATTGTGGTGCCACATATATTTTTAAAAGGTATAGTAATCTCACAAGTTAAAAGGCAACTAACAATATATATAATAAAGGCACTTTCTTCATGTATAATGTAGAAATATTAAGAGATACAAAGATAATTTAATGGCTACTTGGAAATTAGTAAAGTCTTTAAATTATGTTGTTATAATGTACTTTCAAACTTATTAGAAAATATATCTTTTACAATTAATTTGAATGCAATTATTTCTAACTTGAAATATGATTTTAGTAGAGGATGGTAGTATATAAGATCTTAGTATAAAAACTTGCAATATTTATAATAAAACTTTTAGTATATCTTGGTTGAAAAGGCTGATTTCAAAAACTGGGCCTGGGTCAGTTTACCCAGGTTTGCTTGAAATATTTAAGTTCTTGTTAAGGGAAGAGTAAGAGGTACCAAAACTATAGAGGTGGGTTTATAACATCATATCTAAAAATGACAATATCATGTACTATTAGAAATATAAAAAAAAAAGGTGGAGGTTGGGTGATAATTTTTGATACAAAGTGTAAGTGGTTGATGTTATCAGATTTGTATATCTTTAGGAGTAAATATGATGCCCACAACCAGCTATAGACAGTGAATGGTAGTGGGATCAGAGACATTGTGGATTCTAGTACCCATATCCTAAATGTAACATGTAGTTTGCATTATAGTTTTGCATTTCTTGTCTTGGTTATGTCTGATGGATGAAATATTCCCAATGCTTTGGGGTTCTATGGCTGCAGACATTTTCTCCTTAAAATGATACCATTTATACTTTTGTATAAATGTTAAAATTTGACATTGTTTTGTAAGAGTTTTTGTGGAGCAATCATGTATTTGTGGGTGCGTACATCCATAATAAAATGTTATATTTTTAAATAATTATCTTTTCAGGGCTGTGAAATGCTAAGTAATCACCTGTATGCCTTTGATGAATACAGATAATTGTGAAACAAGTTCATATCTATATATGATTATATTCACATACTAACTTATACACTCTGCAGCTTGGTTAAACATAAAATTTTTATTCTGCAACTGTAAGTTTTTCATTTCTGGGTCTACTACTTCAGTTCTACAAAAATTTGTAGTCTACTGTGGTTTGTTTATAAAAAATATAATCATTATGTTTATTTTAAACACTTAAAACAAAATATAAATTTTCATAAATAAACTAAGAAAGCATCACTGTAAACATAAAAATACAAAACTGTATTTTTTTTCTCATGCTTTTTTCTAATTCTAATTGAATTGGTACAATATTTTTCACTGTACAAAATATATTTCATATCATTGAAATCATTTTATATACTAATCTTTCCTGAAGTAAATACAAGAGAATATGAGGATAACTTGTCTTGCTTGACTACAGATAAGCCAATGTGGCAAACCTTCTTTTTTTTACTAATGCATCACATTACTTTTGGTTTCCTGATCAATGTTACCTTAACATTCTGGCAGGAATAAAGGCTCTAATGTAATTTTTACCTTACTCAAGCATGATAAACATTTGGTTTATGGTTCACTCAGTCAATATGTCCAACTTGCTATATTGTTCATAATGTGCCAGGATACAATGCCAATTCCAGAAATATTGCTGCAAACATTATTTAAAAACAAACAGAAAAGTCAAAACAGACATATAAAAACTAACCACACTTAATTTGACTTAACCAGTAGAGAAAAACTACTGACAGAGGTTTTTCAAATATATACTTGGTTATTTATGAAATTATTTCTGCAGAATAACAAAATTACATTTATTGCTTCCATTTGTTTTCTAAGCCACTCATTGAATTTAGTTCTTCCTTCTCTATCACTTGTAGCTCCAACGCTCCAGATTAGTGAGAATACAAACCATGGCCCAATAAGATATTCCAGCAAATACATATTGTTGGCATTTTCCTTCATTGTCAATGAAATACAATATGAAAGTAACAGAATACAAATAAAAAACGTTACATAATGAAACAGATGCATTTTCATGTGATATAATATCATTGTATATATATATATGTATATTAATTTCAGCAAACAATATTAAAATAATTTTAAACACATTTTTCAAGTATAGAAGTTCATAAGTTTTCATAAACAAACTTATCTTTTACCTGTCAATACTTAAAAGCTGAGGTTTAGAAAATTCAAATTTAAATGATCTATAACAATAGTAACAGTTCTTATTATAGTGAAATTATATTTCTTCAAATTTAAGCATAGGTTCCATTTCCATAGTTTTTAAAACTTTAACATCAATCCTTTAAGAAAAATAAAATATTTATAAAACAATTAAAAATATATATTTCATAATTTCTATAAAATTATGTTTATAAATGGGTGACATTCTGAATTTGGCACAAATTTTTTGATTCTTTCTGAGTAGCCAATGTCAAGTAATTTATGATTAATAAAACAAACAATACATTGTGCTGATACTTATAAAAAATATATATATATATATATAATTTTGGTTTTGCATGATTCATAAGATAACTTACCTGAAAATAAAAGAAAATACAATCTAAAAGTCTCAAAAGACTGAAGGTCAAGTTGATATTAACTGTATTCACCATTTCTTTGATATTCTGCCTTAGAAACTTCAGTGAAGGCTAAATGAGAAAATGGTTTTCTAATTTATTTAATAATTCCTGCATAAAACTATATTACCATAACAGCAAGTAAATATCCATGTACCTTTCAAGTTAAATTACATTTAATTTCTGTAGCTTATTTCTATGATAACTCTTAATAGGTCTAATAAGAGTTTTGAATTAAATATAACTTTTCTATACAAATATTTTGAGTTACATGTATTTTCATTTAAAACAATTTTTATTAAGATATTTATGATAAAATTCAATGCTTTGAAAAATATAAAGAAAACTAAATCAAAGGGCTTTAAAATTAAAGCCTTTGATTCTGTTAATCCACTAAATTTGTGTATAAAAATATCAACAATTGACATAAATTTATTTAGTTAAGCATTAGTACTACACTAGAACGAATAATTTAAAAATATACAAAAAGTGTTCAGAGTAGCTGTTTTGATGCTATTGCTTCTAAATTTTTTAATGTTCTGGTTGCTCTAAATTTATAGAAAGCCAGACAAATGTATATTTCAACATAATATGGAATTTTTCCATAAGTGCTTCATGCTTTCTATATTTCCTTACATTTATTGCTTCTGATCTTGTTAAAAATGTTTACTTTTGGTTACAGACAGTACATGTAGCTTTTAAAAGTGCAAAAAGTTAAATTATCATACCAATGTACAGAGGTATTTTGTGATGCAAAGCTAGGAAAATAGTTTTATTTGTGTTTATTAGCTCAGTCTTGAATGAACCACATGTAACTGTGGAGAACAGTGCTACCTGACATGGACATTGTTTCTAAATGACAGACTTTAATGCCTAATCATATGTGGAAATGGATAACACACTTACCATCCAGACACAACTCTGTGATTATTTTGACCAGGTAGTAATGCATGAAAATAATGTTTACCATAAGACTCTCTCTCTGCTCGTGAATTAAACTAGATTATAGTGTATCTAAGCTCTGATTAAAATGTTCAAAACTTCAAAAATACATAAAAGAAACTGCAGTCATCAACAACTAAGTACAGATCATATCTATTGCCTTTTGGTTATTATGACTGATACGACTGATATGACATTTCTCTGCAATGCTGTCATTCATTATACATTCTTATGAAATAGTTCAAAAGTGATCAGAGTATTGAAAAAGAGGTTACTCTCCATTAATATCTTTTTCATATTGCTGAAATGTACTTCTTATTGGTGAAGAAGCTATAATTCGAAGATCTGCATTTAAAAGATAAGATAATCAGTTACAGTAATATACAAATTTACAGGTTATTTTAACTATCATTTATTCTATAGAAATTAAACATAAAATGTTATATATATATGGGTAATTTTTTGAACACGAATACTGGCTAAGCATGTACATTATTGGTGTTATGAAATGGCCTGGCTCAATTTACAGTACTTGATGAATACTAAGTAGTAAGTTAAATGTTTTGGTGCTATGACATGACAGATCTTCCTTTAATAAGCAGTAGTTTACAGGGTGCCCTTGCTTTCATAAAATACATAATTAATTATTTAAATCACAAAAATCACTTTCTTTATATTCTCACTCTAGCCAGTTTTATACCTTTACCTCCTTGACTTGATTAATTCATGTATGCTGTTTAGCTGTATAGTGTTTTATTTGAGAATACTAGTGTTTTTAACATTTATATACATGTCTGAAACTCAATAAAAAGAATGCCCCCCAGTGGCACAGCAGTACGTCTGCGGACTTACAATGCTATAAACTAGGTTTCAATACCCATGGTGGGAAGAGCACAGATAGCCCATTGTGTAATTACAAACAAATACATATGAGAATACAAATCAAACATCTCCATGACATCCTATACAAATAATCCCAATGTATAAGTACAGGTATAGACTGATAAAGATCAAAGAATATAAAGAACCATGCCATGAATAAAAGTTATTATTTTCCTACACTGAAAATATATTGCAAAATTCTTTTGTATGCCACAAGCCTTGAAATTCCCAACTACCCCACAATCAATGTGGTTCACTGCATCTTCACATGTAAATCATCAAGTGACAACCCTCCACCAACAAGAGTGTGACACACCCTCCTGATGTACATGACTCCCTCTATTCAATTCTACCTAACCATCACTTCAAGATTAAGCAGAAATTAAGCACCGGTTTTAAGAGTGGAGGAAGGGTGGGAAGTGTGAGAGGAGGTAAATACCTATTGAAAACATATTTTCAGTGTAGAAAAATATTTACTTTCAATAAGATACCTTACCTTTCCCTCACACAGTAGCTAGAATCCCAAATTGACTGGTGTCAAGGATATAGATAAGCATCCTTCAAAGACATCTGAAAAACACCTACAGAGTGTGAACCCCCATTGAGAGAGGAACACACATGGAAGACTGTACTACTTTTATACCAGGTATTCTATTCACCCAGTATAGTAATATGTATCACACAAACTGCCAGAAATTGGGAGGAGCACATCCAACGAGAGAAAAAAACTGGATGGTTCCAACCCCACATCCCATTGAAATCACTGGAATTGTAGTCCAGTATAAGAATGAGATTGGAAGGTGGGGAAAGCTAAAATGGATGTATCTCTTGGTGTAGAGTGGCTAGGGCACAACAGACAATACTCATCAGCATTTGGCATGCATAATCCAACTGTAGTAGGAGGATGGTACACACTGTCTTCACCTCAAGTTGAGTAGAATGGAAGGAGAGAACTTCCATACAAGTCAACTAAACAGGGCAAATGTGCAAATCCACAACCACCATCTGAACAAAGATAGTAAAAGATGTGTCAATGTGGCAGTTCACTTCAAATCCAAAACCAAAAGGACTGGTTCAGAGGGACAACATTCAGATGAAACCTTGAGCAACCACAGAGCTGAGGCAAATGGAACCAGATCTGTGCAATATCAACCTCCGGAACAAACTGCACAGAGGTGGAGCATGAGGCAAAACCTATGATCAAGGTAGGATGAGTAATTACGACCAACATGTATGAGAATTTATAGTGATTGGTCCAGCTCTAATCTAAAGTCACTCACTGGGAACCAACATTCAGTTGATGGTAGGATGATGGATCCCAATCAGAGGAGTGAACTTCAAAGTGGTAGATCTACCTGAAGTCATGGAATATACTATAGTGATATATGAACAACATCATCCCCCAGATTCAACAGCACAGAAGCTGGAGCACATGGATGCGCAACATCAACCTCTGGTGTAGTGCACAAGTGAAGGATCTATACCAACTACACTGGCAGAACACCACTGCCCTACTCTCTACTGAATGGAAGTTAACAAATTCAGGAGGTTGTCCACCACCCCAGTGGCTAAGAACTGGAAAGTGGCAAGGAGTCTCATACTGTACTGGAAGAAACTGGGTGGAGGAATGAGGTGGAGAGTCCAGAGGAATATTGACACTGGAGAAAATGCAAATGGTGACCATGAAAGGTTTTGAAAAACAGACTGCCACTGATTTATTCAATCAAAGGGATGGCAGAAATGGGCAGCAATCTCCTTCTGTTTTACCCATGAAAATCCATAGGTTAGTATGAACTAGAATGGACATATGAAAGTAGAAAACTATTGTGAGGAAATCTACTAGCAATACTGTGGAACACCCCATCTCTACAATGTGCATTATTGGCCATGGATATACGTTGAGATTGGTTGGATGAGCCTCTGCCCAAAGATAACTCTGGTGGGATGTCCCATACAACCTTTAGCAAGCTACCCAATGCAACATCATTTTCTGGATAGGATCACATAGAGTGCATGTATCACCTGCAAAATGCCCCAAGTAAACATGATTTGTGAAACAATCAGAGCCAGGACCACACAACATCAACCTCCGGCACCTACCACACAGAGATGCAGCAACTGAGTCACCAGACAGCAAATAATATACCCCGGTATGACTTATGGTTGTTCATACAGTGTGAATTGTTGGAATGAATATAGAAATAGCATACCTGGACAAGCAATGCTCATTACTGAGCAGGATCTTAGAGCTAAAAGGGACATGTCACTGTAAGTAAAAGGAATATATAGAAAAGTCAGACCAATGTTTGAAGGATGGCAACAGGCAGTACCCCAACAAGGAATAAACAGCCACCCAATGAAAGTAGTAGAAGATTAATGTATGAGGTGTTGTCCACATGCCCAATTGAAAAGTTTCTTCCAACAGAGGACGAAGGTGTGATGCCAGAGAAAAGGTAAGGTGTCATATCTGATGCAATGACACCTGGAACAAATTGCACAAAGTAGGGGACAAGAATAAAATGCCAGTCTAATAAGCTGATGAACCCAACCAGTCAGGGTGGAAGAATAAAGGTCACATAAGGAGGAAAAGGTACAGAGAATGAAAAAGCAGGATCACGAACTACAGAAAGAGACCGTGCAAGCAATATAACGATAAAGAGCATGGATGGAACAGAGAAGTCTATCTGGACCAGACCCAGAATATAGGTGGGAAATGGAGGGAAGTGAAATTGGTGAGAATGAAGACCTTACCTCATGAGCAGCCCAGTTTTGGGCAGGAAAGGTCCATCCAGATAAAAGAGAACATACGTAGAATGGAACAGAGAACATGAAGCATCAATAGCAAAAATAAACCAACAATGCCTGCAGGCTAAACAGAGGAGGAAATAAGTTTTAAGAAATAGTTGATACAGGGAACAGAAGGACAAAGAATCAAACAGAGGGAATGTGAGAAAGTGAAGATCAATATTGACATTCCAATCCAGAAGAATCACCTGACAAAAAAGGTCGAATAATCTGGAAGGAACACAATAAAAGGGAGACAGTAGGAAAGGAAAACACAACATAGTATCTGGAAAATGTTGGACAAGACTGCTTGATAACCACCAACGTAAGATACAGAAGCCCCATGGTCAAACAGCTAGGTAAAAAAAATCGTAAGGAGAAGAACAGTAGGCTAAAAAGGGGAACCCCACAGCTTAAATACCAATGTCAGAAGATGTTCCACTTACACTGATAAACCACTAGGG